TGCTTAAACATGCTACCTTTAGTCTCCTGAACCCACAGAAAGGAAACAACAGGTTTCTACATCTCGCAATGGCTTCAATGGTTGTCTGGGCCATGGTTGCTGGATCAGAATTTTCATTTTTTTAATGTCCTATGAACACCATGGAGAGTTTTGTGGAAAGAAGAGCATGGAACTGGCTGCTTAACCATCAGTTTTCTACTACCCTCAGCTAGCTCCCTAGCCACTCATACATCATCATGTACTTTATTCCTACTGGCAGAGCAGTGTGCCCATCTCCCTGTTTACTTTTGGAAACAAGGAGGAAGTGGCTAAATGCCCAGAGTAAGAAGGAGAAAATCGCATCAAAATTGTTCATTATAATTTAATAAGAATTCTTTTGGGGGCCAGAATGGCTAGGAAGCATTGCAGAAATGCAAGACTAACCAGGATGAGGATACTGAGGTCCATAGGAAAAAACAATGTTAAGGAAAGAGCTTTTGCTTGTGGGGGCTATCTCAATGTGTGGTAAGTTCACGGAGTATGGAAACTGTACTGCCATGGGACTTGTGCAATCATAACAGGTAAGTTTGGCAAACATCTGCATGCTGTGGAAGCCATTCAGGATTGTTTGCCATGATGTGAGATATTGGCGTTCAGTGTGGATAAGTGCAATGTCCTGTTCTTGGGGCACAGGAATGGGTGTCATAAGTATAGGTTAGCAGACAAATGGCTGAAGAGCAGTACTTGTGGAAGGGATCTCGGGGTACTGGTCAACTGCAGGCTAAACATGAGTCAGCAGTGTGACTCAGTAGTCAAGAGGGTGAACACCACACTTGGATACATAGCCAGATGTGTGGCTTCTGGATTGAGAGAGGTATTATTGCCACTCTATACTACTCTGGTGTGTCTGCAACTGGAGTATTGTCTTCAGTTTTGGGCCCCTCATTACAGGAAGGATATAGGCAGGTTAGAATCGGTGCAGAGGGCCACAAGGAAAGCCATGTGAGGTGAGACTGAGAGAAGTGGGAGCCTGGAGGAGAGAAGAATCCAAGGGGATCTGTTGATGACATACAGGTACATGGGGGGTGTCACACAGAGGTGGGTTGAAACCTGTTTTCCCCTGCGGAGGAGGGCAGGACATGTTCCAGTGGAGCAAAGCTCAGGGAACCAATGTTCAATTTGGATGCCAGGAAGTACTTCCTGGTAACTAGGACCCCCAGGGTATGGAATGGACTTCTAAGGGAGGTGGTTGAAACCCCACTGATGAAGGTGTTCAAGGACAGGGTGGACATGCATATGATAGGCATGTTATGAGCGGAGCTGGCTGGAACTGTGGGTCAGACTAGATGGCCCAGGAGACCCTTTCTGACTCCCTCTGTTTCTATGTTTCTATGCGAACCCAACCAATATATAATTTGGCCCTGAGACCCAGCCAAACATGTATGTCATCTTCCTGTTTCCTCTTACACTGACTAAATGGAATAAATAGCAATAGAGCAGCTAAAGCCTTATCTGCTTTTCCTCAAAGTATCAGAACAAGAATGGATAGTGATTCCTGGGAAGTTAAAGCCCCTCCAAAATTTCTTAACTCTAATGGTATTACCATATTTCAATTTTGAAAATTCTTTCCATGTTTACTAAGTGAGGCCCCAGATCAATTCAAATAGTACAAAACAAACAAACACAACCTCAGTTAGAAAACATAATGACTGAAACCCCTGAAAGTTGTATAAGGCTGTGCTAGACCTCTGGAGGGCTGAAATGACCTTACAATGCCACACAAAAAGCCTGCTGCACATTGTACTACTGGAACCAGGAGATAACAGGTACTGTGCTGCAGGCTCTTGCAGTTTGGTGTCCAGGCTAACTTGTTCCCTAAGTCCGTTTTCATTTAATCAGAAAGGTCTAAGTGAACTAAATGGGGCTTATTTTCTAAGCCCCATTTCTGACCTTTAATCAGAAAGATCTAAGTGTGATTAGAATTTCAGCTATTATGTGGTAAGTTGTGAAATCACAATCCTGGAAACAGTAACACCTTATGGTACATATTGCTGACTGAAGTTATGCTTTTATGCGTGCTTATATGAAACTAAGCTCTATTGAAATTAGTACTACATTCTTCCAAATAAATGTATTATATGTAAGATAAGCTGACTATTGTCTTCCCTGCAGTTATTTCAAGAAGGCCAAGTGGATTTAAATTCAAGTATTTTGGCCCAATGAGCTTATAGATTGGGCAGCCCATCATGTGGTCTAGTTGCCTGAATGAAAAGCTTAATAGTGCAAGAGAAGAAAATTGTTCTTAATTGAAGGAAAGTAACACAGAAATGCATTTTCTTGTTAAATAATTGAAATAATTCAGCACAGCCTCCCTCACATATGGTTAGTAAATGTCAATAGTATTTTTCTTCTTTATTAAAGATGATGAGGATTTTTAGAAGGCTATCACAGAGGGGCATTAAATCGTGTTGTACTGTTGGTCTAACAGCCTGCAACATTATTTTATCCAGTGCTGACTTCTGAAAATATATTCCAGTATAATAAATTGAATATTTCAAGTTCAATAACAAGACAACAACATAGGTAGAGTCCCCTTGAGGACTCATTGGAGCCTTACTCAGGAGGCCTAAATCACTCGCACCTTCTTGAGTTATATAGGCCTTTTACACTTGGGAAAGAAAGATAATAATCGCTTATCATGGATAAAGTACCCTATTTATAATACACAGACCGCCTTGCCTGACAGTTTCATATTACTGTGGCATAAGAAGGACCCCACAGGGACACAGTCCAGTTACTGCAAACGGGTGTCACTATAATAATTAAGCACCAGTGTTAGCACACACAAAGGAAACTGAGTTCTAGCCAATGAGGGAAAAAGAGAATAAACGTTAATTTTCCAGTAGCCAGTTTTATCAAATATGAACTTGTTTATGCTCCTCATCTCTCTCATTACTTAGCCATTTCCTGTCTTGGCAGCAATGCAGCACAGACATGTTTCCAGTACGGTACTCAAAGCACAGTATGCAAGAGTTATTTAGCAGGCAGAAGGTCTTAAGCTGAAATATAAACCACACCGATAATCCACTACACAAATATAGAGTGGGGGGAAAATGTTGCAAGATCAGTATAATCTGAATGGATCAAGATAATCTGAATTTATAATTATTTGAGCACAAAATTGATGAAATCAACAGCCATACATTCAATTTTAATTATTTATTCAAAATATATTCCCCTTCCAATAGCTCTCCTGAGCTACTGCAGCAAGACTAGAACAAAGTTGTATGCATACATAATTTAATATGAATGTACTTCATGTAAAAGTGTGTCTACATGAAACTCTTGCTGGCATTTACATATATGAATGCAGCATACCAAGTTCTCATAATGAGAGTCCCCACCCCTGTCCACACTGTCCACTTGAGTCATCACAGGATCAGTGAGAGTTTGTTGCAAAGCTGACAGGGAGGGATGCTGGGAGGACAGCTAGGCAAGACTTAATCTTAGCTAGAATTTAGTTTAACAATCCTTTTTATACTGTCAAAGATTGGACTCTACAAAGTATAGTGATGTTAGTGCATCAACATCCTCAAAAACATGTAAGATTACAAAGAGAGAATACTCCCTATTTACCAGGCATGATTGCTGTTTTCTCATACTCATGCCTGGTAGTAAATCACTACCTCTTGTTTGATTTTCATAGACTTGCACAAGATACCGTTTAAACTTTTTTATATGCATACATATACACCAGACAAAAGTAATACATAACTATGTTTAGAACTGTAACAGAAAGTTCTTTCATTTGTAATCCTTTGTTTCCCGTTGCTTCTCTTTTCATACAACACACATTGCTCCTAGCTCCACTAATTACAAGACACTGGGTGCTTTCAGACAAGGGTTTTGTTGTACCATTTACCTTGCCCTGCCTGAGTCATGGAATTTTACCGCGGTCCAGACATTGTGATTTTAGACTTGTTACCTTCCCATGTTCTCCACAGCTTATTTCATTTTTTTCCTTACAAGAAACACTCCTTTAAGAAGAAAAGGAAGCAATGGCAAATCAATGCTACTCTACCTAGCTAATTGGTAGAGTTAGGAATTCTCTGTCTGGAAACATCCATTATGTAGCTCTTCCACATTTTCTTCCTTAACATGTTTTTTGCAGAAAGGGAGAAAAGACGGATGCAGAAGTGGCAGGGAAAGGAGAAGAACTTTTGGACGCTCTATAATATTCCGTGAATGGGGCAGGGCAATTGCACAATAAAAATCTATGGAAGCATTAAAAAAAGATAAGGAGAGAAAGATGGAGTAGCTGCACAATGCCTTTTCATTGATAGTGCTGCAGATGCCTATAATAAAAAAAATGCTCAACTCTGACATGACTGAAAGAAGACTAGAACTATACCAACACCAGTCTTCTAGTAACGCCCTTAAATTGCAATCCTATAATTGTACTGAAAAGCAAGCCTCGGTGAATTCAACAGGACTTATTCCCAGCTAAGTGCGTGTAGGATTACAGCCTCACCAGAGAAACCAGAATAGGGGTGTTATAAATACACGAGTGTGTTATCTTCTTCAGTGAGACACAGAACGACATGGAAAGAGGGCAGACAATTCCAGGCAAGCACGAACTCCAGCTGCACCTCTTTTACTGTAATTTAAATGTCGAGGAGACAACTAGGTAAGACTTCATCTGACTTTCCCAAACCTTAGCTCACAATTCTGTGGCTTGAAGCCGTTTCCCTTTTTCTCGTTGTTACCACGTATTACATGTCTGTAATGGGAACAGCAATTCTGATCATGACGAATTGTTGAGGATGAGGAATTAAAAAGTGGGGGAGAGGCGTGCAGAGCAAGCCATTTTAGTAAATAAGCAGCTCCAACCTGGCCATTGACGTGTTTGGGCCTCTGCGCTACCGGAGGTAGCTTCTTTGTTACCTTAGCCTAGTAACCAATTTCGGGAGCTGCCCGAGGCATCTTCCTTATAACCCAGCGGCGAGCGTTTCTGGCCGGCAAACTTTAAACGGTGCACAACGGTGACGCTGGGCGGGAGGCTCAGTTTTTCGATCGAGGACGGAGGGCGGGGGAGTCGAAGTGGTTCTTCGCGCGCTCATCATGCCGTAAGTACCGAATTTGGGAGGAGGGGAAAGGAAGGGGAAGGGGTGTTGTGAAGGGGAGACTGATGGAGGATGTAGGCACTCGCAGCCATAACCGGAGGGTGCTCTGGTGCCTCTTTCCCTTCACCTAATCGGTAATTCTGTCCAGGCATGCTTGGGCCATGTGTGTGAACTGCAGTTAGACAGAGCTAGGGCTTAGTCTTATGTGTCTTTATATAAACAGGACACTAGGGCTAAGCCCCGAACTATTTGAAAACAGTAATGCCAACTGTGCTTTTGAGTATTTCTGGAGAGTGGGAGTGTCAGATGAATCGAAAAGTTTTAGAGAATCGAGATGCTTTAGAGGAGTCTCTCTTACAGAGGAAGTATTATGAGTCAGTTCCATTCTCTTAATGGGATTTTCTTTCCAGTAGGTCTGTCTAGGTTTCCAGCCTTAGAGATTAGGCAGGAAGGTTATATAATTAAGAGAACTCAAAGGAAATAGGAAAAGACATTCGAAGAGTCTATCACATGTGCTAGCTATCCTTGCAGTACATATTTTACCACTTTATGTGATAAAACTTCCTGAAGTTAAGTAATGCTTAGGCTTCTGTCTCACAGGTGTGCACAAAGTACATCTTTGCTTGTTCTCTTATTTAGAAACATAGAAACAGGGTGATTCAGAAGGGGTCTCCTGGGTCATCTAGTCTGACACCCCCCCCCCCCCGGCTCCAGCCAGCTCCACTCATGACATGCCTACCATGTTCATGTCCACCCTATCCTTAAACACCCTCACTGATGGGGCTTCAACCACCTCCTGTGGAAGCCCATTCCATACCCTAGGGGTCCTAACGGTCAGGAAGTACTTCCTGGCATCCACCCTAAATCTTGGTTCCCTGAGCTTCACTCCATTGGAATGCATCCTGCCCTCCACTGCAGGGAAAAAGGTTATGACCCACCTCCTCACATACCTCTGTTTAGGTTTATTTATACAAACAGCATCAACAGTTTAATATGCTGCTTCACAAAAACAAAGAAAGTTCAAATGCAAGTGCTTGCCCTAGTACAGGGATCCCCATCCTTATTGGATCTGTGGGCATATTTGACAAACTGCTGCAGGCACCATGACAAAGTAGTCTCATGAAGGATCTGGCTAGTCACATGATGCCTGTTGCAGGAGGTCTGGCTAGTCAAAAGGGTTGTGTTTTAGTGCAGTAGGGGCTAGAGAAATAGAAAAGGATTGTGTGGAGAGAAATACCAAAGTTCAAGGTTGGTAGTGGAGAGATCCAGCAAAAGGGAAAGATTTGTGTGGTCAGAAAAAATGGGTGGGGTCAGAGAGCAATTCTTTCCTTCACATCCTGTTCAATAAATAGTTTATCAGCCCCAGGCTCAGGAAGGTATTTAAACTTGTTTGCTTTTTGTTTTGTCTTTGAAAAAAAAAATTGAAAATTTTTGAAGGTGACAGAGAGTCAAGTGTTAATGGTCACCATGTTGGGGAGGCTTCCCCTATTAGATAAACCAAATGGAGGAGAGTGGAAAGGAGTAATTAACATCCCTGTTTTGTAGTTAACAATATATTTATTACCATTGAGAAACCTTCATCCTATAGATTGTTACTTTTGATTCCTACTTTTTCTCAAAAGTAATGTCCCATGTTAATACATGCTTCCATGTAAGTGTACATAAGACTGAATCCTTAGTAGTGGCTTCCATATTATTTTTCCCACATAGAAACCACAGTAGCTGCATGGTTGCTGTTCTACGAAGCTGCTGTAATGTGTAGTTTGCTGCATAAATTGATGCTATTGTGTGAAATGCTTCTGTACCACCAGGCATTCCTTCTCTAACATCTGGATTTGTGTGATGAATACCTAGGAATCTGGTTAAGATAGAGATAGTATAGCAGCAGGGTTTTTAGTTGGTTAGCTTACAATATGATGGCACAGACAGGATTACCATGCAATATAGTGCCAAATAGGAAGCATAAGTTCCCATGATGATGCACCCTAATGGCTATTTCATACATTCCATAGAGATAATTATCTGATGCATAAAAACATCTAAACAGATTTACACTTGATGGATACTGATGCGCATTTTAATCTCAAGCCTTTTAAAATTATGATTTATTGTTAGGCTGTCTTTAAGGGTAAAGCCTTTCTGTTTAACATCTCTTACACCCTGCTTCAAGAGGGAGCTATGCCTGTCTTCATTTTGTAAATGAGATGTGCATGTGGCACCCCTGCTGTAATAATGTGGGATCACGGCCTGAGACCTCCATTTCCTGACGTTACTGTTAAATGTTGTACTCATGTACTTTGCCATAATTTGAAATAAGTGAAATAATTTATGAAATTTATGAAATAAATTCCACAAAATTTCCCCTAGTACACATGTTTAGGCAAAAGTACACTTTTGTTACAGATTATATTTCATCCCCACAGCTAATTGTGGAAATTGTTATTTCTCACAAATGTTGAATTTATGCTCGATTTATGTTCTTGATCTAGCTTACCTGAAAGGATATTCTAAGCTCTTTTTTGGTGAAGTCATTCTAAAAGTAGAGCAGAATACCTTTTTATATATCTTAATCAGGTACATGAGGGAATGCTCTCATTAAGACAAAATTCTAGTTGCTCCCTAGATACAGTGGTACTTCGGTTCATGAACTTAATTTGTTCCACGATTCTGGTCACGAACCGAATTGGTCTTGAAGTCAAATTTACCCATAAGGCTCAATGTAAATAAGGTTAATCCATTCTGAACCATAAACATATTTTATACAAAAGGATGGCATATAAAAGTTTTAAATAAATAAACATGTATTTTTTTTAACCACAAAAATATGAGCCACATCCCTGGGCTGTGGGCCAAGCCTTGGCTGGCTCGCTAAGCCTGGGGGTGGACGGGCTGAGGCAGAGCAGGAGCAGTGCCATGGCTTCTGTGCCTCTGCCACGGCCTTCTCAGGGCGAGCTGCTGCCTCCGTCATGCGGCTGCCATGCTTTTTCCCCCTGCAGCGGAGAGAGGCAGGAAGCACCCTGCTCAGCCGGACACGGCCCTGTTCCTTGCCTTGGCCCGTAGAAAGCAGCCATTACCTCCCTTCTCACTGCCCTCTTGTGGCTGGGGAAACCATCCCGCACCTGCCTTTCCAGCTTCCCACTCCTGCTTCCCTTCCCAGAGCCGGGCTAGGGCCTGCAGGGGGATCTTCCTCTGGCTCAGAAGCGGGGCAGCGGCGAGGAGCTGGGAAGGCCTCGACCGAGGCGAGCATGCTCTCATGGCTCTCCCTCATGTTGTGCTCTCCCTTTCGGTGGGTGATCGCGACCCTGTTCATGCGGAAACATGGTCGTCACCTGATGTGGAGCTCATGAGCTGAAGCAAAATCTAATAAGTGAAATTCCTGTTCACAACCTGATTTGGTTGTGAATAGATGTGTTTGTGAGCCGAGGTACCACTGTACTGAGAGATTGAGGGCCTAGTAGGTATAAATAAATGTATGTTTGTCAAGATGAGCAAGGAAAATATAACTTTTTTAAAAATCCAGTGTAGATTCTTGGTTAGGAACAGACTAGTCATGTTTAGGACCCATTAAAATAACAGGATTTAAGTTAATCATAATTAAGTTTCATTCATTTTACTAGGTCTGCCCTAAATACAACTAAGTTTGGATCTAACCCACTGAGTAGATGGCAGAAAGGAGAAAGGATAGGGCCTTAGTTTAGTGGCAGAGCACAAGGTTCTTATTTAGTTCCTGTCATCTCTACATATGCCTGGGAAAGAATTGGAATTCTGGAACATGAGTGTTAGTCACTGTAACTAGGATCTAGATAGTCCTATGGTTTGCCCCAGTATAATAAGCAGAAGGACAAGCTTGATGTTCTTGAGCATGTTGCCTCTGAGTGATCCAAAAAAGTAAGGTCTCCATGATATATAGCTAATATACTTTAGAATGCTAAGAAATCAAAATATATTGTGGGATGTTGGGAGATGAATTTAAAAATGAATGCAGGGGTCCCAAACCTTTTATGACAACGGGCATATTTGGAATTTTGTGAATGCTATAGGTGCCCATTCACAAAATGGCTACTATAGTCAGTGGGGTCAGTCACCAGTTTTCAGAAGAGAGAGCAGTGAAGCTGAAATATGAGTTTATTGTCCAATAACCTAAGTATAAGGCAGAGTGTGAGGTCAACAACACAAAACAGTTTTCCAACCCCATTTCACAGAATGCAAACTACTGAGGCACAAAGAGAAGTAACTTATTAAAGATACTTAGCAGAAGGCAGAGGTGGGCTCTTATATTAGTCCCAATGCAACACACAAGGGGGGAACACACCCATTCATATCTAATAAGTGAGCTTCTGTGTGCCTTACCTTATAAGAACATAATGCAAGGACCATGTGCCACATCTTTAAACAGGCTTACATTTCTTCAAGCAAAAGGTATGTTCTTACTGATGATCAGGGTTGGATCCATTCCAGACTTAGTTAGTTGGATTTAGGTCCTTTTGAAAGCAGTGGGGCAAGTTACCCATGGATCTCATCGATTCCAGGAGACACTAAGTTTGACTAAGATAGGTTACAATCCCATTGAAACTTGTTTGGAGTAAGCACCATTGAAATCAGTAGGATTTCTGAATAGACATATGTAGGAATGTGCTGTTTTACTGTATCTAATCCGATCAGTGAAGGCCAAAGCCTAAAGTATACTTTTATATGTATTTCATTTGTTCAACTGCCTATTTGATTCCCTGGTTTTAGTGAGAAGAGAGTCCAGGTTAAATGGAAGTATTTCTGCCTTCTGAAATCCACTGAGATAGAAACAATTCTGAAGTGCAATCCTCAAATATGGCTTCTTTCTTACAGCTGTTGAACCTGAATTCATTTTCACACACACACCCCATTCCCCCACTATCTCTATTCCTTGAATTTTCAATGGCACTTGTGCCTGGGGAGCTTTGCACCCATGGAGAATATTTATGTGGCATAATTGTGGTGACTATAAGACAACTAGCATGTGTAGACAACAAGATTTTTCCTCTCCTGATAAAATAATTCTTCCTTGGAATATGAATGGCTAATTAGCTCAATTATTTTAGTTTAGTGCCTTTGGAGACAAATGAAGGAAATTTTGGGTGCACTGTAACTTTACCACCAACCAAAGTCACTGACAGATTTTAAATAGCTCAATGCTTGACCACACTGCCATTTTTTATCAAGATTTTTTCCAGGTTGCTATAATTTAATGGGATTTTCATGTAGTTTATCATTTATCCTAATCATAAAGCTACCTTGAGCCCAGATTCACTGTACTTTGGCTCCCAGCTTCCTATGAAGTCCGTCATAAAAACTTCCATCCTAACATGCCTTAGTGTAGCATGCAAATACATGGTCCCCTAGAGCACCTTTGTGGAGTGAATGTATTAATGTATAAAATGTTTCTCTGCTGCCCCTGGGGTGGAAGATGTAATGGAGTCTGCATTCCTTAAGTAATGCAGGGCACTGTATTTAAAAAAGAAACATGGTGTTAAAGAATTTGGTCATATTGTTTCAGCTTTGATTGTTCCTTGGCAAGAATATGGTGCCTCATTAATATTTTTAAAAATGTAAATCTCACATAGTTTGTCTGTTTTTAAGACTTTTCCCCCACAGTAATTGCTTTTCAACACAAGATTTTAAAGTTGGAAATTGCATAATATAGTCAGTTTGCAACGATACTTTCAAGCTTTCTATGGTTCACTTTGAAGAACGTCAAAGCTTTTAAGGTCAGTTCAGGCTCTGGCTGTGCTAGAAGGTCTGGTCATTAATGTTTGTACAAGCTGGTGTTTGTGAAACCTTTGAAATATTGAGCTCTTGGATTCTAAATCAAAATGGCTTATTTCCAACATGGTGTCTGTTCCTTTCTATTCTGAAATGAAATGGTTCTGCAAACCTTGTTTAATCTAAAATAATCATCTGAAGCTTTTATTGGATGATTCTAAAGGATTTTAGTTGCTTTACATTAAAAAGCCTTTAACTGTTGTTTAAGATTTAAGAATGTATTTTCAAAGTTCGAGTTATCTCTGGGAAACATAGTCTTAATTTATGTTGACCTTTCTTTCCTTTGAGTATTTTGTCTGCATTCAATAAAATTTTGATGACTGCTCTTTAGAAGACAGCTGTACGATGTGAAGTATTATAAATATTCAGCTTTCCATTCCTAGTGTTGCCATTAACAGCTGGGCATCCAGTTCAGCAGAACAGATTTTACAGAGGAAGCTTGGCATGTTTCTGAATCAGTATAGTGAAGAACAGGAGAAAATAGTTTCTTATGGTTTGGGGACCAGTAAAGACATAGAGCATCTGTTCCCTGGTTAAGTCATAGTCTAGTAGCACTGAATCATGTTAAGAGCTAAAATGATGAGAACAACTACTTTTTTCACCTTGAATGTACTAGTACCTAAATGCCTAGTACATTATTTTTGTGACTGGCAAAATAATTTCAGCACCTACTCAGAAGGTAAGTTATAAACTTTTGTAGTTTATTAGTATTATGTACAAAAAATTGTTTTTTTTTCCAAATGGTTCTGTGACTTTGGTATCCCAAGAACTGGATCATCCCAGTTTGAATAACCATAGGTGTGGGGGTTTGGGGTGACAGTGAAACAAGGATTGGATTCAGTTTCCAGAGCTAGCTAGTTAATATATTTTCCTTGTATGAGCTTCAGTACTATAGTATAAAATATATATATATATATATATAGTATGTGATTTGATAATGACCAATAAGGCACCTTTCAGTAGAAGATAATATTGGGGAGTGATAAAACTTAATTCTTCCTTCTTCTTTTTTTTCTAGTGTTAAGAGAGCTCTAAAGTTGGATAGCCATGCTCTGGGAAAAGTGAGTTTTAGTGTTTCCTTTTTTCATTATATCATTTTCTAGGAAAGATGGCTATATCTAGGAAAGCTAGATTAGATAGATGTGCATATTATCATTTGTTTATTGAGAAATCTGCAATACAGTATTTCTGAATACGGAAAAATGACTGCCAGACATCTTTGGGAAGGAAAAATTGTTCTTGTAAAATATTTTAACTTTGTCTATGAGAGACAATTTGCTATAACTGGAAGAACTGCAGTGTTGTATTTTTATTATATACTTACTTTGCTCAAAACACCAAATGAGTTGGGGATGTTTGTGAAATCATTTATTAGAAATTAGTTCCCTAATTGGTGAAGCAAATGTACTGCCATCTTACTGTACATATAACAATATGGGATTATGATAATGCTGTAATTTGCATATTATAAACTGTAAAATTGAAATGAAAACATTAAAGACATTTTTATGTTGAGAATGTAATTACCTCTCTCAGATAATCTAACATAATGAAACAATAAAATACTAACATGGCAATCAATTTTCCTTTCAGTTATCACAATAAAAATAAAATTGTACTGTTGCTCCAATTTCTCTCTCTCTCTCTCTCTCTCTCTCACACACACACATAAATTTTGGCCGTCACATATTTCTAAGTGTCATCATGTCACGACATATGCCAGTTTATTATTTTCCAATACCAACTGTTGGTGTTGTAATGAACACTAATGCTAAGGAGTTCATGAGGCAGGTAGCATTATAAGAAGCCAAATAGACAGGGGAGCATCTATATCTAAATGGTTGGTCAATAAAATGAACCTGTAGTTTTGTCTGCATATACCAATGCTTTCTTTATAGATAATAGTGGTCTTGCTGTTACTTAGCAAAATTGGAAACTTGGCCATGTTAAGAATCTTTTGTATACTCTTTGTAATTATACAAAGGTAACTAAATAAAATAGTGGTGCTAAGAAAAATCATTAACAATTTAATTAGCAATTTAGTTTTCCATTATCCACCTTGTTGTACTCTGAATACAGCTGTGACTATAATTTTGCATCTGTTTCCTTGGTCAAAGTAGCATTTTTAGAGGTGAGCAGTCCAGCTTGAAATTATTCCTTTCCACCCTAAAGCTGTTTTGGCTTCCTGAAATTGAAATTAAAAGGAAAAAAAATGTTTGTTTTGAGAATAACTCTTTAGGATGCTTGCAGCAACAATTACCCTTTGAAAGCTTGGGGTTTGATGAGGTTTCTAAAAATTCAGAGAGATAACTTATCAGTAAATCTATTTATAACCTGAGAGGACTGCCTTTTTACTTAACATGAATTTTTAAAATGATTGAAATTGTTGAAAGAAAAGGGAAAAACATTCCAGACATACAAAGTTTATATTGTATAAACTGTTGAAGTAGCTTTCAAGTACACTTTTGAGGAAGTATGTAGGTCAGCATACATAGAAGAGGAATTACCTGTTAAGTCAAGAGTGTCCATCAAACCTTCAAATTATAACTTTAAGGATTGCTGTCTGTATTGGCATATTTTCTTTCTTCCCTATCCCTATTTCCTTTTGTTGTGTGTTGCGTGCTTATAAATCATTCTACAGTAATTTGATTTATAAATTAGAAGATGATGGTGATGAAAAGAAGCATTTGTGAAGTTGTGACAAGAGCTTTTCATTTGCATTGTTACCTGGAATGAGAAGTGAATTTTATCTCATTGGGATTTTAAATACATTTTTGTATAAATGTTGTAAAATTTTCATATATATGATGATGTGGAATCCTCTGTTAATCAGATGGGTTCCATTGTCTAGTGATTCTTTTGCTTATTTATTGATTTTACTTAGTTTAAAAGACATCATTCAGGGCAGTTAACCACAGTTAAAATCAAACATAAAATGCAATGAAATTTCAAAAAGAGAAATACAGTAGTATAAGCATACAGTTGCTGAGATAATGCTTATCCATTCAACAAGACAAATGCCTGCCTGAACAAGAGACTTTTGCATATTTTGAAACTCTACAAAAGAGGGCCAGTTATGCAAACAATCGAAACATTTTTGATCAACTAAAAATAGACCCTAATCTGCCACCAGGCTCTTTTTTAAATACCTATTTTAGTATGATAATGTTCAAAAATTATTGGTGGCTGTTTTCACCTTAGAGGTCTTCTCTCTCATTTCTAATAGGAGATAAAGTCTCTTCTAAATTGGTGCTTGTTTCCAACATGTAAACGAGTTATTGAAAGACAAATATATTGGTGTCCTGCAGCAGCAGGGTGTTGGACCTGATGGCCTTTATGACCCCTTCCAACTCTAGTATTCTATGATTCTTGATAGTATATTTTATTCATATGTAAATACATGCTGATTTTAGCAGTTATTTAATCAATGGAGGTAGCAGTAATTCACATGTCCAGATCAGAGGTCTTGCTCTAACCTCAAAGCACTGACTCATCCCAATTCAATGCTCCATCACAGCCAATGTTGAGAGTACTGCACTGGCTACTCTTGAAAATCAGAAAAGTGACTATGGAGGGGGGCACTGCAAGGGACATGGAGGAAAGTAGACTGGAAAGACCAGGATATGAGCTGTATCTCCCTTTCCAACTTCCTCCCTGTACCTTCAAGTTGCTCTAGTAGTGGGAGAGGCAAAAAAGCTCATCTAGCAGAAAATGCCTGGTGCCAGGATGGGGAAGCTTGTTTTTCAGTGTGGCAAAACTGCTGCAATACAGAGTCACGATGATGATGCAGCAGCAGCAGGAGAGTTATCCACCTTATACAATTAATTGACTTGTATTTTTCGATTAGCTGCTTTACCCATTTGGACATTATTTGAACAGAAGAAGGAGGTTTTAGGAGGCAGTACTACCAAGGTGCACAGAAGTACCAAAAATCTTTAGAAGAAAAACACTAAAGGGGGTGGGACACCCCCCCCCCAAAAAAAAACCCTCAGTCCATCGAGGATGGATACTGTCTTGTGTCAGCATTCTGATAGAACACTCCAACAGTGTCATTCTGTGAAGTCAAATAGTGGTAGTACAGTTCGTAAAAATGTTCCCATTGTGCAAGCACTTGCATATTGTACTGATACAACCTTTTTCATATAGTTCAAACCCTACTTTCTGTTGGCACTGATTTATTTGTCCTGTTGGAATGGTATAGTTGGAAGCTGATCTGCTGCTGGAGTTGGGGAAAGGAGCACTGGGAGAGCAGGGGTGCAGTATCCTGAATTTGTGTATTTTAAACATCCATCTCTTTGGCAAATTTTATGAGAATCAGAGTATGAAGAAGCTATATAAACATAAGTCTATCAGTCTGCACAGACCTTGGCCATTCTTCATGTGCAGTACATTTATTGGATTTTGTATTATACCATGAGCAGTTAAATGAAGAGAGAACTGGGCATGATGTTCAGCCTTGAGAAGAGAAGACCCTGGGGGGGGAGGCATGATATCCCTCTATAAGTACCTCAAAGGCTGTCCCAAAGAGGAAGATCAAGATCTCTTCTTGCTGATGCCAGAGTGTAGGATACAGAATAATCAATTCAAGTTGTGACAACCCAGATTCAGGTTGGACATCAGGAAAAGCTTCCTCATTGTCAGACCAATATGACAGTGGAATCAGCTGCCTAGAGAGGTGGTGGGCTCTCTCACACTAGACACATTCAGAAGGATACCAGACAGCCATCTGAGTGGGATGGTGTAACTTGGTGTCCTGTAACAGCAGGGAGTTGGACCCAATGGCCTTCCTGGCCCCTTCTAACTCTACTATTCTGTGATTCTAACTGATGAGTAGATCATGGTGAAGCAACTACATCCATGCTTCATCTCCGTGAGGCTGGCATTGCCAATATTGTTGATTCTGATTTAATTCCTTTATCCAGACATTACTGATTGTGCATGGGATTCAGTAAAGGAAACAATTCGCCTCAGTGGTAATGTTTACATTAGGTCTTCATCTGTGGAGCAGCCCAAATGTGCCACAGGTCGTTCAAGTAAAAATAGCAATATTGCAGCTAGAACATTGATTGGCCAGAGTTTGAAGCTTGGCTTTTTGTGGTTCAACCCAGTATACTCACAACATAACACTCAGCAGAGCTATATTTCAAAGGTAAGGATTGTTAAAAATTGATGGGGATTGTAATAGTTTTGTGGTCTGTTAAGGAATGTTGTCATTTTACTGTTGAGCAGGGGTGGGCAATCTGTGGCTATCTATTTTTCTTGAATAGAAACTTCTAAAACTTTTGGAATTCCAGAAAAAGTTAAAACCTATCAGCACTTTGTAATACACAAAGGGGGATGAAAATACTATGATTGATTTTTATGTAGTTACTGTACTAAACTTCAGTCGCATATTAGCACTATGAGGGCTAGAAACAGCTTATTCTATGTACTGGTATTTTGAGACATTAAACCAGAGTCTGGGGGATACCTGAAAGTACATCAAAGACAGACATGAGCCCACTACGTCTGTTTTAGTATAATTGTATAACCTGTCTTGAGAGAAAGTGTAAAGGCAACAATGTGGATTGTTAGGGGTGGAAGTGAATGTGAAGGCTTTCACTGCAGTATCCTATGCAGATTACTTCATTGTCATTATTTAGGTGCCAGCAACCAAGTTGAGGAACAGCAAGAAAAATCGTCCTTCTTACTCATCAACCACAGGAACATGCCTAATGAGTCCATTTTCAAGTCCTGAGAGCAGTAATGTACCAATGCACAGAAATGGCCAATCAAATGGTTAGTTGAACATTCTCTTCTACTTACCTTCAGATTTTTCCTGGTTATTGACCAAGTCAAATACTTGATTTAGTAATCTATGTCTTACATGGTTGTTCTACTTTCTTTTTTTCTTTTTACCCAAATATGAACCCAGACCTTTATTATGAAGACCAGCTTTTTTCACACGTGCAAACATATTCTTCTTTAATTGTTGCTGTTTCTTGCTGGCTGGAGGAAATAAAAAACTGATTTTAGTAAGAGTTTGTCAGTCCAGTATGTTTTGTGCTATTTCTTGTGCCCTATCATTTCAAATTCTATCACAGCTACAGATCAATTCTATGGCTCTTAGGCAGTGTCTGTACCGCCATAGATATGTTTGACTTGCTAGAATTCCTAGCTCCAAGGTTGTACAACCTCTCCAATCTTGGAGTTAGGGATCTGTGATGGAATGGGACCCATCCCACAGCAGTCATGTAGAGAATGATGTCAGCTGCTTCTCTATTTATTTATTTATTTATTTATTTATTAAAACATTTCTATGCCGCCCCTTGCCGAGGCCTCGGGGCGGCTTACAACGTCAAATAAAATACAAAATACATTAAAACAATAACAATTAAAATATATACAGTAGGTAACCTTGGAGAAGGAGTTTACTGGGTATTTGGGGGCGGGGGTCAGAGGACAGGTGCCACAAAATAAGGCATATCCTTTATTCACTCTCCTTCCCTCCCCTGCTGAAATACCATCATTACCTGGAATTAGCCATCTAGTGGCAGAGCAGGAGGATCATAGAGGTGACTGTAATCCTCTGAGTTTAGAGGGCTATGGGCATCTATATAGGATCAAGCCCTCAACAGATTACACTAGTATTTCTTAAACAATGCCACACTGTGATGATGTTGAGTCATATTTTCATACTACCTAACACTGCTTTTGTTTCTCTTTACATTTGTTGCTATAAATCATCTAAGCTATTGCAGACAGTCTACTTGCAGACTGCCTATGTATGCATAATTGTTGCCAGATTTATGCAAGTTTTTCACAATGAACACTTGCAGAATACTTTGATGTGGAATGCAATTGCTTTTTGTCCTGCAGTCATCACTTCAGCATTCTACAATAATAATAATAATTGGATTTCATTTAATTTTTTATCATCATTTCTCTAAATGCTCTGGAAAATTCATTAAAAGCTTCCTTTGATGACCCAGTATCATTTCTGGAAGATGTCTCAATTCATGTTCAAAATCCTTAATTGAAAGATTGGTTTAGGCTATTTGAAGTTCTAACCAGAGTTTCTCATTTGTCAACTACATTTCCTTCCTTCTGCTACAGTCTGCTAGAAACAGCTGCATTTGTTTCCTATCACCTATGCATTATCTATCCACCTCCTGTACCCCACCCAGTGTCAAGAAAGTGCTATGATGGCAAGGTCTATTGGTGGAGGAGATGGGAAAAATGTATCACTGCATCAAGCTGAAGCATAGGGTGGCCACTTTTGCCCTTCTATCTTACAGTTATATGGGCTCTCATCAATCCTATTGCAGTCTTACACACATGGTAGAGCCTCTTGCTCCTTTCCACCCTATGCCAGTGAAGGCTAATGCCAGATAAACCCACTTCTTTGAGGCTTTGTTCATGAACTCATTGAGGGTATGGTGCTTCTCCTTACCTTTCAAGAAATTGGCCACAGTACCACCTTATTACAAACTGATGCTAGCCTGAGTAAAATATGAATAATGTAACAAAGTAGGTAATTTGTGCTGAATTTTTTCTTTCAATTGTAGCCTTCTGTTTGAGGCAATTATAGGAAATGGACATCCTTTTCTTCAATATTTAGTTCTGGGGTATAGTCTTTATATTATAGTATTTTACTCTAACCCAGGTAGTTCTACAGATTTTTTTTCCAGTTCTGCTTGTGTTAAAGTACTGAATTGAATGTAGCTTTATGAAATTTCCCATTATGGAATTCCAGACTTCCAATAACGCCAGCTTCAGCAGTAAATTACTGCAGTTGTAGCCGGAAGACAGACTGGAATCTACTTGTGCATTTCTGGAAGCTTTGCAATAGTTCATCCACAATTTCACACTCTCAATTACTTAACAGGAGCAACAACACCACTGTCTAGAACTATACTGCTAAAATAAATAAATCTTAGGGTAGCAAGGAAACAAGAAATGGAATTTTGTGTGGAAAGACTCTGACTTTCATTCAGTTCTGGTGCTAAAAAACCGTGCCTTTTGCATTAAACTCTGGCTGCTGCATCTTTAAGTTCTAGTGAAAAAAGCAAAGGAGATCCCATAAACCTGAAATAGGGTTGTACAGGTTTTGTCAAAGCTACTTATTCTGTGCTTTGAGAATTCTCAGGCACCTTTTGTTCCATTGTCTGCCCATTGATAGAATCAGATCTTTTTTCAGAGATGTAAAAAAAAAAAAGTTCAACTGGTGGTTGTGCTAATTTGTATAAATCCTCCCCCAAAGGACTTGTGAACCCTTTGCAACTTATGTGCAATTTAGAAAAAGTTAGCCTACTGGGAAACCCAGAGATCAAATTCCTATAAATTCCAACTCTTAAATCTGTTTTGGATTTCTTTGACATCCTTAGCCTGAAATCTGCCTGGCCCTGAATTATAATAGAATAGTGGCAGAGTTGGAAGGAATCTATAAGACCATCAAATCCAATCCCCTTCTGCACTCCCATATGTGGTCACCCATCTAGCTGCAGGCCTGAACCTCTGCAGTGTAGCAAAGGAGATTCAACATGCTAGCTTGATGCATAGCTTCACAGGAAATAAAGACGAATACATATAGAATGAAATGGTTGACTGGGCAATATATTTATTTATTTACTTATTTATTTAAAACATTTCTATGCCGCCCCTTGCTGAAGCCTCGGGGCGGCTCACAACACAAAACTCATGTTTAGAACTCCTTCAACTTTTAAGCCATCTAGTCCCAGTAAGGTGTACAGTAATGTGAAGGACAGCCATCTCCAAATGAGCTCACCGTTATCTCCAGCCAACATGGATGATGGACAGAAATTCTGGAAGATGTAGGCAAAAATGCCCAGATGACACTGGGTTGGGAAGGCCGTATTCCTACAGGTTAATTCCCATAGTGCAGGTAATAGAAACTCACAATAGAAACTCACATATCTTCAGTAGGTCAACTGTTTTACCTCCTTGGAGATCTTGGTCTAGGTGGAGTCACAAACTTGATTCTTTTTTCCTGCTTGCTTTACCATGTTTCCTTCAGCTCTGGCTTATGACCATTTTTCTCCTTAGAAGTATTTGCCAGGGAGTATAAGGTGCAGTTTTTTGCATGCTTAGACAGAAAAGGTTGTAGAGCATTTTTTGTCCGATCATGCATAAGCTTGCATACGTAACTGATTTAGGATTTCCAGGTTTATTGCTTTTTTCCAAGGTGGATTTGATTTGAATCAAATTGATTTAAATGACAATTTAACTCACTAGTTGGTAAGACTAGATTTAAATCATGGTTTTCTACATAATTTACACACATGCTTGCTTTACCCTTAGGTAAAGAAACTTGATTAAAATATTCCCAAATTGGGTCTCCTTTACAGCCTGCTGCCATTATAGGATTTCTCCTTAAGGAAAATAATAATATGGTAAACTTCAGGCTATACACAAAAAGACTTGTGCAGTATTCTACTCAAAAGATTTCACTTTCATTTTACTGCTTGCTCCTTCGTTCTCAAACTTAGCTTCTTGCACAGATCTATTCCACTCCCAGCAATCTTCTTCTGTTCACTGAATTTTTTGAAACTTAGCACTTGAGAGGTAAGGGGTTGATTCTGTAGAGGTAAATTTGCAAAGGAACAATGGGATTAAGGCCTTTTTCTCAGCTTTGTATTTTATAACATTTTTGCTGAGAAGAGCCGTGTGATTTCTGCAGACACACATTCACAGTTCTTAGAACTGTAAAACCAAGCATCTGTGATAATGTCTTCCAGATAGAAAAAATGCCCAATAATCTTCCAGAAACCTATGGAAGAATATGAGATTGTGAATGGAATTAAAGGAATTCATTTAGCAAAAAATGTAAACATTGCATGAATATATAGCCCAATGCTACATAATTAAAAAATCCTTATTTCATGATGAATAACCTTTGGACTATAATGTAACTTAAACACTATATTTCGATAGATTTTTCCTCAAAAAGCATTTTATTTAAAAACAACATTTAAAAATCCTATTTAAATTTTAAAAATAATATTTTTAATTTTTAATAATTGATTTTTATCCACTCTGCTGTTTTCTCTGATGTTTTGTAATAGGGATATGTTCTATCTTCTCCCATTCCCCCATTTTAGAAATTATTTGAGCTTCATAGTTTTGAGGGATTGCAACAAACAAAGAGGCGAAACAGTCGTGGATTCTGCCTCAAGGAATGTGGAGGGGGAAAAGGTAATGTTCTCCGTCAGCTTCATTGGCTCCCCATTGAAGTCCGGGCCCAATTCAGGGTGTTGGTTATCACCTATAAAGCCCTTAACGGCTTGGGGCCTGGTTACCTGAAGGAGCGCTTATGTCCATATATGCCCGCCCGCCCCTTGAGATCAGTGGGAGAGGCCCTTCTCTGGGAACGCTCCGTGAAGGATATTAGGAGGGTAAGTTCTCGGAGGAGGGCTTTCTCTGCGGTGGCGCCCAATCTATGGAATGCGCTCCCCAGAGAGGTCCGCCTGGCGTCGTCGTTACTTGTTTTTCGGTGCCAGGCGAAGACCTTTTTATGTAAATGTTATTTTAATTGCTAATATTTATTTATTTTACATCTTTGGCCAGGTCGTCTCAAATTTTATTGTTTTTATATTGTTGTTATTTATTTGTTGTGAGCCACACCGAGGCTTTGGCGAATGGGGCGGCATAGAAGCTTCCTAAATAAATAAATAAATAAATAAATAAAATATTAATGACGACTTAAAGGAGCATGTACTTCTTATCATACCATCCCAGCAGTTTTATGGGACACAGTGTCATACGGCAAGATGGAGTGA